GAGAAATCGGGAAGCTAAGGGGAGTTGGGCGAGCGAGGGAGCGAGTTGAGGAGTTGGAGCGAGGACTACCTTCACATATTTCGTGCAGCATGTTTTGAGCAGACTATCACCAAAAGCCCAGCTCCGCAAGTGAAGTGGACCCCGACGCCAAGTGGAATCGTAAAGATTAATTTTGATGCCACAATTCTGCCAGGCCAGTCGTATTATAGAATCTCGACGGTGGCTCGTAACTCCGAGGGTACTACAATCTGATGGAAGGTCTCCACTATCCCTGGTAATGTTCAAGCAGTCGAAGGGGAAGCTCATGCCGCCCTCGCAGCAATCCAGAATGCCCGTAGGGCTGGAGGGCAATTATCATTGAGGGTGATTGCCGCCAACTCATTATGGCTCTTAATGAAGATGAATCTTCCTTATGTTCGTTTGGTGCTTTCTTAGAGGATATTCGTACTCTTGCTTTGTCTTTTGTTTCTTGCCAATTCTTATTTATTCCTCGTATGTGTAATAAGGTAGCACATGGACTGGCTTTATCCATAAATCTTGCTACGTCTGAGGGTAGCTCCCACCCCTTTCAGTTGGCCTCCGTTACCTAATATAATCTCTTTTATTCAAAAAAAAAAAAAAAAGCGATCCCAATTTGGCCCAAATTGAGGTTAGTATTGAAAAATTACAAAATTAAAGTTAGCATTGAATTAAAAATAATAATTTAAGGTTAGTATTGAAAAATAAAAAATTAAATGTATTTGTAACAGGATTCATTTGCATAATATATATCTCCCTTATATAATATGAACTGTTGATGAGATGAAATAGGAGCATTGTGGGTTAAACCTACTTGGCGTCATGGAAGAAACGATTGATCATGGAAGCCAAGGGGTTGTGGTTGCTTTGACCACGAAAGTCCGCTCCAAATGATTTATCCCGATTTACCCATAGACGAACCAGGGGGAAGGTCGTCTACTTCCAAAATTAGTCGGGTCAAGCTCGGACATCATGGTTCTCAAAAAAAAAAAAGAAAAAAAGGTTTATTACTCTCCGCAGAGGGTGAATTAGTTGTTGGCGCAAGAGAACGCGATACAATTTGATCAGAATTCAGAACTCAAACCATATTGAAAATATTCTTTTAGTTAAAGCTCATCAAATATAGTTAGCCTAGCCTAGTTTACATCATTTATAGAATTAACAAGCTACTACACAAGGATATAGTTAGGGGTGTGCACGGGTTAGTAAAGTTTAGTTTAGCGAAAAATCAAACTCATAGCGATAATTTCGGTTTTTCAGATTTAAAAAACCAAATATGTCGGGGTTTTTGTGGTTTTGTGCTCATCGATTTTTCAGTTTTCTGTCTACGGTTTTGACATCAATTCGATTTATTTTTTACATAAAATCGATATTTGATGAAGTGTGAATTTTGGCTTTTCAACCTATTTGTTAGAGGATTAAAATATAAATAACCATCTGAAATTTCCAATACGAAAAAATCCCTCATAATTTATTTTTACCACACATGTTGTTTTTAAGTCAAGACGGTTCATATCGGCTCAATTTTTTTAGTTTTCGATTCGGATTTTCAGTATCTTTGATATCTCCTAGGTAGTGTTTACGTAATACCATGTGTACTTTATCTCTTTTAAGAAAGCCAAGTATACTTGAAGTGATTGCGGATTCTCTTGTCAGTATAAAAAAAAATATAAGAATTTTAACACCACAACCGAAATTCATTGATTTTAATATCATAATGAAATTGAGTTTAAATGGCCCAAAAACATATCTAAGGCCCATATTGTAAGTCCTTCTTGGGACTTGAGCCCGAAAACAACCAATCACATTTATCCACGTGTTCTTTCTCCTCATCTCCTTCTAGTTTTGACCGAGTGAAAATCCACTTCCTCAACAAAAGCTCGTGGATAATTAAATCAATGGCAGCCACACCATTGCCATTGGCCACTCACTTTTCAACAAATTTTTCTTCGATTTCAATTTCCCGCCAAACCACTTATTCATTTCTGCCTAAATCTGAAATTCATATTCATCCCGGAACAACGTCGTCTCAGAGAATATCTCCGGTTCGGGCTTCTTCCAAGCCCGATTCCGCCAATGACAAGGCGCCACTTGTTTCTCAGGTCAGTAAAGATAATTAAAAGCTATTAAAGTCTGATATTTATGTTTAATTGAATATAGAATTATCGAAATATTGACTTGATTATGTAGGTAGTATATCCAAATTTGTTTTTTCTTTCATATATATTTATATGAGCAAATTACTGCACTCCTAATGTATGGCCAAATTATGAAGAAAAAAAAAATCCTTTTTGTTTGGGTAATTACAGCCACCACCCTGCTTTTAAGTATTTTTACATAAAATTTATGTAATTCGGTTGTTTATCGAACTAAATCGTAAGTTTAGTTCGGCAAACGGTATAAAATGTTGGCGTACCGAAATTTCGGTTTGATGTTACCGAATTAACATTTCCAAATTTATCTCTGGAGGGGTCTTTTGTAAGA